AGGTTGTAGGCCATCACTATTAGGTTGGAGGCCATCGCTCTTAGGTTGTTGTAGGCCATTGCTTTTAGGTTGGAGGCCATCGCTATCAGGTTGTAGGCCATCACTATTAGGTAGGAGGCCATCGCTATTAGGTTGGAGGCCATCGCTTCAGGTTGGAGACCATTGCTTTTAGGTTGGAAGCCATCGCTATTACGTTGGAGGCCATCGCTATTAGGTTGGAGGCCATCCCTATTAGGTTGGAGTCGGTTGGAGGCCATCCCTATAGGTTGGAGGCAATCGCTTTTGGCTTTTGGGTTGGAGGCCATCGCTATTAGGTCCGAGCCATCGCTATTAGGTTGGAGGCCACCTCTATTAGGTTTGAGGCCATCGCTACTAGGTTCGATTAGGTTGAGGGCATCGCTGTCAGGTTGGAGGCCATCGCTATTAGGTTGGAGGCCATCTCTATTGGGTTTGAGACCATCGCTACTAGGTTCGATTATATAGGTTGAGGGCATCGCTATTAGGTCGGAGGCCATCGCTATTAGGTTGGAGGCCATCTCTATTGTCAAGCCTCACGCGTTGGAATCAATGCCTCACCCAGTCCTTGAATATCCTCCAGCCATCGACAAGAACATTTTGGCTCAATCACCAAGTTTTGGGGCTCATGCCACATCAGTACGTCCTAGTAGCGATGCCAGGAGCCCCTAGTAGCTTCATCTGATTGCTGTCTTGCCACATGTGTTTTTTCACCCCGTGTTCTCACCCCGCAGGCGTTGACCGTTCGAGCTATATCAGCTATGTGCCTAGCTATTTGGCAGGCCGTTGGTGCGAAAGCGTGTGGGTTTGGGGGGGGCGATCATCGCGAGGTCCAACCATTTCGAGACAAGACGACACCCCTCACGGAACGGGCGGAACGGGCGGAGCCATCTTGGATACCTCTTGCCAAGCCGCGCGTCCTTTTACTGTTTGTGACCTTGGACCGCAACAGTTGCAGCGCGGCAACTGCACGGCCAGGTTCCAACGGCCGGAGCTATGTGCCCCCTGTGCAAGGCCGTCGTTGGAGAGTAGCTGTTTGCTTGGGGTGTCCGCCATGCAGCAGTCATTTCTTCGGAAACATTGCCAGAGTTCAGATGCCTTGAGTTGCCACAAGTGTGCACTGGATGGTGGCATCGTGAAATGTTTCCTTGCCAAAGTGAGTTTGTACGGCTGCGGTCTATGGCCCTGTTAAGCTGCTAAAAAAACTGAAACATGCATGCAACATCATTTAACTATGGTACCATACTTTTGCAGAGGTGAAGCATCCATTCAAATTTGCTGGACCAAGGTGCTGAGAGCCGGAGCTATGTACCCCCTGCCGAAGGCCTTGATGATCTTGATGAATGGTAGTTACTGTGACATCATGGCCTTGCCACTGTCCAGGATCCATCCGCTACATGCCTACCAGCCTGTATAGCCTACCTGCAAAGATGTTTACCATTTGGATCTTCTTCTTAATATTGTTAATTCATTTAGTCCATCACAGCAGGTTTGATCAACATGCTCCGCTTTGCTTCTGCCTTTCCAAGAAAAGCACAATATACCAGACATCTACAGAGTTGGTGTTTCCGTTAAGGTGCAGGTGGCCCAAGCTATGCACCCTGTGAAGCAGGAAAAACAGGCACGCATGCAGAGTTCGGTCTCCTGAGAGGTCATGAGAGACTCCAAGACCCATAGAGACCCTTGGAGGCCCTATATAATAGTGATGGTCCCCAACCTAATACCGATGGCCTCCAACCTACTGGCGATGGCCTCCAACCTATTCATTGCAATGGCCTCCAACCTAACAGCGATGGCCTTCAACCCACTAGCGATGGCCAAGATGGAGATGATCAAGATTGCAGTTGGATGAAATTAGGATCTACCAGTTGATGCCGGACTGGGTTTCGGCTTTTTTCCTGTGCGCTACTGCAGCCAGATATCCCGTGAGACTGTGATGCTTATGCCATCATATGCCTGAAGACTAACATGGGTGAAGATGGATTTTGACATAAATTTTTGCAACTCCAATAAATGCGAGCAGTTCCTTGCAAAACAGCACAGAATGCTCCTACAACGCCCTCCTCATTTATGACATCTTAAAACCAGATTGAATATGCTTGAAAAGTAGGATTGAATGGACCATCCACTACACTACACCATGCTTGGCACTAGCGAGTGCCCTTACGGTAGAATTTCAGCAGACTGGCTGGTGCTGCGCGCAGCGTGCGCAGCGCAGGTACAGATGGATGGAGCTACACGCCTTTTGTGACAGGCATGAGCAATGGCCACTGTTTGCCTATGTGATACCTGGCCAGTTGTGGCCACACTAGGTGAGAATGGTTGAGATGTGGCCTTGCGAATTGCTTTCAGGGGAGTATGCCTTGCAAGCCAATCGTGACTAGCATGTCTTTCTTCATCCTTCATCCGCGTTGTTTTGTTTCGTCCGGCCACAGTGACTAGATACCAGAGTTTTACCAAAGTGTTACCGCACTCTTCCCAAATTTTGATTTGCTTGCCCAAGCACATGCAGGTGGCGGAAGCTATGTACCTCCTGAACCAGGTGGCCGAATGACAAAGCTCTGGCAGTACTCTGATGATGCAGTGAATATTGGGAATTTGCGCAGAATCCTCATTCATCTCCGCACACATTTTGAGTGAACAACTACTCACTGGTGCTCTGAAGCAGAAGCAGGTGGCCCGAGCTATGTGCCTCCTGCACAAGGCAGTGTATAGTTGCGATTTGCTTCGCTATATATCAAGGCAATAACGTGTCAGGCATATTCTAAGTGGACCAGCCTTGGGGAAAACAAGACCCAAAGCAACGGTGAACACTGCACACGTTCAGTTGCCCTGTGGTCACAAGGTACTTTGGGTGTTCGGTGGCCCTCAAGATGCATAATATGATGTCGGAAGAAGTTACATCCATTTTCCGTGCCTTCTTCCCAGTGAAGTTTCTTCTGGTAGAACTCACCTGCAGCGGCTACTCCAAGTCACGGAGACCGGCCATGGGACGACAGTGGGCCATGCGACGTGGGGTCACTAGGGTCAGGCTCCGCGCAAAAGATCGAGGCTGTTTGCAAAAGAAGCCAAGCCATAGAGTTGCCTGGGTCGATTATTCAACAAAAAAGACATGTTGAGTGGCTGCGCAAGCTACATGCAGGCAGCCCAAGCTACATACCTGCAGTTGCAGCCAGTAGCTCGCCAGCATGACCTTCATGGTTTTAATGACGAAACCAAACGGGAAACGAAAGTGCTTCTACTACAAAGGACGATGGAATTGTTTATGTTGTAAACAATATGTGCGGTTTGCAAGGGATGCAGTGAGACAAGTCTTCCTGAGCTCACCTGCTTGTTTGTGCGATGTTGAGTAACATTTGCTTCAAGCAGGTACAGGCAATCGCAGCTATGTACCCCCTGGACCAGGCGCAGCGGCGGTGGAGCTTCGTGATATCAGGACACATCAGCAGCCATGATCCGTCCTTTGAGTCGCATGTTCTTTGCAAGGGCAATTTTTTGACTTGCACTGTTCATGGTGGTGAGATAATTGAGATAGATATCACCAAAACACTTCAAAAGTGTTCTTTCGTGGCGATGGTCCCTGATGAGTTGCCCCTGATTGTGTCTAAGTCACTCCCGGCATGGCTGCATGATGCTGCATGGCTGGCTGTGGCTGGACCCCTCCTTTGCACAGCCCCTTTGGACCAGTTGGTGAGAACCTCATTGACCTTTTCCAATGGACACAAGACTCGACAAATGTTTTGGTTGGGATTGCTCTGGATGGACAAGAGACACCATCGGCATTTTCGTTTGGGTCAGAAAAGGCACCCCGGGTTTCTTCCAGATGGAAGGCCGAACAGATCACAGATCAGTAGCTTCGATGATGATCGGTAGCTTCTAAGGCTCCGGACGAAGAAGTCGTGATGCCCTTTCGTTCGTAGCTGCTACTTGGCTCCGTAGCTTGGCTCGGTCCCAAAACCCCACCACTGGTGTCGCTCCACCGAGGCGACACGGCACGCTACACCGCTACACCGGTTCCGCTCCGCTACGCGGACGTCAGGTGCAGGGTGCGGACCGGGGCCGGACGTCTTGGGCCGGACCGGGGTACACTGAAATAGGCTGAAATCATCATGGATCATGGCGCCCGGGTCCTGTTTGGTGACGTGGAAAAGATGGGGAAAACCATCACAAATCAAACAATGTTAGGATACCATAGATTAACCAAAGGACGCCTGTTTGGTGATGGAAAAGGGTCATCTCCAATTCCACTTCCCGTACGGTGCCGAGACTGGGCGTACTCGTTCGGTCTCGGCGGAACATCGGTACGACCGATCGCTAGACTGTCTAGACTAAGCGAAAACTCGGAACTTCAGTGAGACGGGACGTTGGTGTTCGCCTTCTTTTCGCTTTTGCAACCAAGCTTTCATTGGGATGCCGACGAGTCTCTTCATTTACAACACATAGCGTCGAACCATGTGCTTCATCGAACTGGCACAAAGCACTCCAAATGGTGCAGAGGTTGGTTCGGAATTTGTGCCAAGGGTATGCATTGGGGTACATTGTCTACAATCAATCAGAAAGCATGGACCTGTAGCCTGTAACGTACTTGCATAATGTTTTGGTTGATGTCAGCGTTTATGTAAGCCTGAGTTCTGAATGTGGCATAATGTACTTGCCTAGCACACTAATTGGGGCTGGATGTTTATTCAACCCTCCAACATTTTTTTTCAACCCTAACCTTTTTTTTCAACCCTCCAAGACGCTTTTTCAACCCTGGGTTGGAAAAAAATGTAACCCCTACTAAATCAACCCATGGTCCTTATATTCCAACCTTTTTTTTCACCCTGGAAACATGCCTTTTTCACCCTGGAAACATGTTTTTTCCACCCTTGAACCTTTTTTTCCAACCCATAAACATGCTATTTCAACCCTATGACACGCTATTCTAACCCTGGGTCGCACCGTGGGGGGCTGGCCTTTCAGTCCTAGGATGTAGACGCCTTCGTCGGAAGCTCGAATGATTCGGCCGCCCTATTCTGCTATCGCTGCTGGTCCTTCTCCACCGTTTTCCTTTTGCTTTGGCCTTGCTGGCTGGCTGCTGCCAACCTCCACCTGCAGCTTCCGCTGCTGCCGCTGGTGCTGCTGCTTACTGCTTTGCTGTGCTGCAGCCGCTGCTGCTACCGCTGCTGCCGCCGCCGCTGTTGCCGCTGTTTGTGCCGGCGCTTCCTTTTTGCTTAGCTGTTGCTGCTCTGCTGGTTTGGATGCGTGCTCGTGCTCAGAAAGAGTCGGCAGCGCACACAACATCGCCGCTCCGGGCGACATGTTCCCAGAACAAATATGCTTGGTGCACTTTTTAAAGATTGTCAAATGGTCACAACAGACCGAGCCCTCTGAAATCCCGAATATCATGGCTACTATGCACGCCCTCCTACACCCAGGCCCCCCTATTGAAACCTATGTTCAGACATTAGTAAGGCCTAAGCAGGCTTCAAACCTCAGTTTCTACTCGGTAGGCGCTCAACACAGCATGGAACTCTTACCGGGATGTTGTTTTCCTTCAGTGAGGTTTTGGTCTTGTTTCGGTCCTTTGCTAAGACCTCGGTCTAGTTTTCTTGTTAAGACCTCGATAGGCCAGCGTACATGAACATGTCGTGAAACTGTGCTTGTCTGGCAGTGGCTGCTGGCTCTGGGTAGCCACAGTAAACATACAAGCAAACAAGTTCGTCCAGATTTGCTAGCAAAGTTGCAGTGCAGTGCATAGTTCACACCTTGGAACATTAGACTCTATATATAGAGTTTTCTTCTGTCAGCCCTAGCCAGTTCTCCTTTTCTTTGAACTGACGCACTAGCGGCAGCCGGTGCACCACTTGGCAGATTGGCCCGGTCCCCCAGCAATCGTCGTAAGAGGCCTGAAAGCCTGAGAGGTTTGTCCTTTTTATTCTTCCCATCCCGAGGGTGCATGCGCCAAAGGGCCTGCGCCACAACATCGCATGGTCCATGTTCCATGTTCCATGTGGGTCTCTTCCAGAGCATACAGCCCACGGGGGCACCACGGCAGCGCCACGAAAGTCTCTTCCTCGGACGTACGAACTTCCACCTGAGCGCACTTGACTCGCCGGACAGAGCTGGACCCAACGGACAGAGGTGGTCGTCCAGTCGCACGGACGAGTTTCTGGGGCTCTCTAGGGGGTCGCGTGTTTTGTTTGTAAGCCATGGATTATGTGTATACTATGGTCCCACTATAATTAAGTATATACTGTACTCTTATAGTGGGTTTCTTTGCGTACAATATAAACCATTTGAGGGGTCTTTCTTGGGTCGCGTTTTCACAGGGGGGATTGCTTCATGGAGCTTTCGGAAATAGCCCAGACGACTTGTTTGATTGCCGTGAGCCATGAGCACTTCATGAAGATGCACGACTCCGACGCATTCCAATGGTTTGAGCTGTTTTGGGCCATGGGATTCATCTCCACTGCTTCTTGGACCCATTGTTATATTTCTCGCACTGGCCTTCTGACACCCTGTCCAGTCTTGCCAGGCATTGGCTGCTCTGATCCGCGCGTCGGTTTCCGCGCACCTTGCGCAAGAAATGGCGCAAGGGAGCCTGCGCACTTATGCCGATTGGCGCTGAGGTTCAAGGGGTGCATCTGTAGTGCTTTGGCGAACCAAGTGCCTGGTGATCGAATCTTTGAAGACCGATGACTTCAAGCCACAGATGAACCAGAGAGCGTTGTACCAAGCGATACGCTCGGCTCTGCGACCCACTAAATTTTGCAGGTCGTTGGTGGCCCTGCCAGTGATGGTGCCCGAATCATTTGGGATCTCTGCAGATCCGGGTGAACTCTCTTTTCCCCAAACAAAAGATCACGGGAGCTCCACCTGAAGACCTTTGCGTGTGTTGTTCAATTCAGGTTCTCTTCAATGGTCCCCTTGGTTTCACCAGCGACCATAGGAAACATCATCACGATTGGCTTGTGGAGTGGGCCGGCGTCAGCGTCTCACCCATGCGACTTCTCCTGCGCACATGGAAGAGAAATCTGGACCAAATTGAATTGGTGCAAGCCGATGAATGAAGCTCGAAGAGATCTGGCAGCCACCGCTGCAGCCGACAGCTAGAAAACCAGCAGCCGACACGAACCGCAACAAACCAGAGCACCACACATGACGCGACAAACCAGAGCAACAAAGTGAGAACAAAGGGCATCGCTACTAGGAGCAAGGACGCTACTAGGGGCTCCTGGCATCGCTACTAGGAGCAAAGACCAAAGAAGCTTTCTAGGTCAAATCGAACGTGGGCCCAAATGGACGGGGTTGAAAAAGAAGGGTCCAGGGTCGAAAAAGCATGTACAAGGGCTAAAAAAGAATGTGACAGGGTCAAAAAACAATGTTCGAGGGTGAAAAAGAAATGTTGCAGGGTTGAAAAAAAGGTTAGGGTGGAAAAAATGTTTTAGGGTTGAAAAAAATGTTGCCCCACTAATTGCTTAGCTTTATCGTATGAATTGGACTGATTTGACCAGGGCGGATACTTGGATTCATGCCTCTTGCGCTCGTTGCGTGCGTTCGTTGACCAGGACGGGACGGAGCGAAGGGAGCTATATCCCTCCATTCACGGCCACAGGCACGGAATCCTTCACGCCGAGCCGGAGCCTGGTCGCACGTGCGGGCATCGCTACTAGTATCGAGGGCATTTACTACTAGCAACAAGAAGCTAGCAGCCAGTAGTAACAAGGGCATCGCTACTAGGAGCTTCTTGTTACTAGTAGCGATGCACACCAGTGTCCGGGATAGTTGTCGTTCAAATAGCCTACCCGGTCTCATCCTTGTTCTCTCCTTCTATCCTTCAAGACCAAACCCGCAAGGGCAGAAATGGGTGTCCTCAGCATGGAGAAAACATCCAAGGGGTGGTACTCCTATGTACCCCTAACATAATGAATCATCTCTCATCCTTTTTCGTTCAACTGATTCGCCCCTTTCTGCTTCACATGGATCAATCTTTGGGCTTGCCTCGCAGATTCCGAGCGCTTTTCCGCCTGCGTCGTTCTTCTGCACATTCCCACCTCCGCCCACCTCTTGTGCCATGTCGGTGCCCCCACGGGTGTCACCGGGTGTCCCGGCCGGGTGCTACAGTCTCGTCCGGGTGCTCCAACCTCTCCACCGGTCCATCACCCTAAGTGGTGTGCAGCGAGCCGCGGAGCGAGCCGCTGGTCTTCGGACCGCTCCGTGGTCGGGGACTCAAAGGGTCCATGCCCAGCTGCAGGTAGTCGAAGTTGGGTGCCAGCACCCGAGACGAGCTTCACCCCGCCCAGGACGGAGCGCTGCGCTTGGTCACCATCATTTTTTTCGGAGGAGGAGGGACCCCCAACCCATGGGGTTCAGCTGATACAGTGGAGGGCATGTGATCTCATTTGGCAGCCAACCCCAGATGTGGGCTGCAGGGTGATAATTCGCTTCCAAAATGGCAACTCAAGTTTTCTAGATTCTGAAGAGTTTGACTACTGTGTCCACATTTGCAGTGGCATTTGCCTTCTCCTTCTAATCTTGGGTCGTCCTTCTTTGTACCCGGACCCTGCCCCAACCTGTAACAGTGGATGATTGTTCGTGAGGGCCTCTTTCAGTCATGCGTATAGTATTTTGTGATCCGTGATATACGTTGGGAGCCTAGACCTCTGAGAGACAAGGGCCCAAATCGGTTCAGGGGGTTGCACTCATTTCCTAGGGCCATCTGGACTGATTGGTTGGGGCAATGATATGTTGCCATTGGAACAGCATTGGACCAATGACATTTGCCTAGATAGACAAAACATCGTCACATTCTGGCACTGTGACTAGCCATATTGCATCCATTTCACGTCAAAAGCATTCAAATCTCAGACTAGCCATAGACCTGCAGAAATTGCAACCTTGGATTCGGGTCAAAACTCCTTTAAGGCGTCATATTAATAATCAGTAGGTCAAATCAACGAAAGGGTTGGGTGAAACAACAAGAAACACACTTACGTGTAGCCTTTTTGATGTCTTTTTGATGTTTTGGGGGTAGCCCACCCTCAGACGACAGCTTGTGGTCATGATTTACAGTTCAAAGCAAGTTGCTATCGAACCATGTTTGACACCACTGCAGGAAGCCGAAACAGATCTTTGTGTCTAGCAGGAGTTGGTCGAAAGAATTACACCCCTGGAACTAGCATGGAAGTGGATGGCATGGCCCCTTGAAAAACCCTTTTCCTCTACAAACGGGTATTCATGGGATTTCTGATCAGTTAGTTCCAGGAAGTGTATACTGGACTACTGTGGGGATGACCGAGCTTCACACCACCACGGACGGGAACCCAGAGCGGTTTTCAACGAAACTGCTTCCGCTTGGGGATTCGTGTCTCAAGAGACCAAGCACGGTTTATTCATATATATATATATATACCCCAAATAAATTAGATAAAGCAGGTCCCAACTAAAAATGCATTGGAAACTATGTTTTGATATATTGTTTCTACCTATATTTGGGGATCACATGGGATCACTATAATCGAACCCAACTGTTCGGTCGGTCCGTTCCGATGCCAGTCGCCGGCCCTACGGGGCCACCATGACGCTGCCGAGCGAGAAGTCCTAGTGATTCGGAAGACGTCCGAGGAGCTGAGGATCCAAATGCGCTTCGTACATCTTCGTACCTATACCGGGCCTTTTGACGTGTTCGGGTTCGGTAGCTCCAGTGCGATTTGAGTTTTGGTGAAGGCCACAGTGGGCTCGTGGGCTAGGGACCCGCGTCCTTAAACTTTAGGGTGGGTCCGCGGAATTGGCCGGAGAAATCAATTCACTGGAAGAATGATGAAGCATGAGGTTCCATACAGACCTTCCAACATATGAAAGAATTAATGTATGATGTGTTTGAACAGACGTTCAAAATGGATGGTTCGGTTTTTAGTAATTGCGCCAACCATCCCCCAAGGTTTTGAGCGGTTGATTTTGATGCCCAAACCATATTATAGATGGCGCGTTTGGCCACATGTCCAGTGGACGCAGTCCTGTTCGATCGTGCGCTCTTTCGGGTGATCCAACTGAGGCGGTGGAAGCTTCATTCAGGCGGGAGCATGGAGCAACTCTTGCTTGATACGGAAGGATCAGCGAGCGAAATCCCAAAGAATCGTGCTTTTCCACTCAACTTCATTAACTTCATACCAACGCTGATTGGACCTTGACAGGAAAGACTAGGAAAAACGCTTCCTTCTGTTTGGTTTTGGTCTGGGTGGAGGTGCCAGAAGCAAAGCTCAGCAACAGGAGTATGGGACCCAAGATCGCTGTGGCCCTGCCAGCGCCCCAACACTCCATATATGGCATATATGCCTACGCTTCAGAGATCAATATAGGCATACATTCCATACATGGAGTGTTTGGGCTGTGGGGTATCAAATGGCATATGGGATGATGACTCATGCATCTCCATGATCTCCATGGCTGCTGGGTCTTTGGTGTCAAACGTATGATAAAAATTCTGCGACTTGTTCATTTGATTGATGCCTTCATGGCCCTCCTCCTACACCCTGACCCCCCGCCCAGGTCCCTCGCTGACGCCCTCCTACACGCCCAGCATCGAAAGCTTCGTGGCCGGGCGGCCCGGCCTCGCGACGCGACTCGGGCGGATCATGGGCGAGAGCGACGCGACGCCACGCCAGCGAGCCACCGAGCGAGGTCACTGCATGGCCAGGCCGGAGGACCTGGCCGGATGGAGGACTGGGCAGGGGGACGAGAGGGGAACATATGCAGATGGCATGGATTGGAGAATCCACTGACTTCCATGGATTGACTGAGCTTGGCGCGGCTCGCCAATGGCTGCCAAATTCTTGGGCAAGTGTTGCAAAATGGATGTCCCGGCGACCAGCAGTTCGAGAGTTTGCTGTCGCCACCACGATGGGCTAAGGTGCAAAGACACCACCAGAGGCGGCTGCCCGAAGCGGTTCTTCCCTTGAGTGATGAGTAGAAAGTTCAATCATGTCTTAGCAATCTTACCATTCCCACACGTTCAGAGTTGCTCTTTTTAACAAGAGAGAGCCAGCAACCACATCCAACCATTACTTGTTCGACAATAGCCGCTAGGGCAAAAACCAATTGGGTAGTCTTGAAGAAGATTGGCAATCAATAGTGGCAGGTCAATACTGGGTCAAATGTTTTTTTTAGGAACCCGAGCGACCGCCATTCATCCCCGAAATCCAGTCGAACAAACAGAAACAGGTGGATTTCATTGATGGTAACTGGGATCAGCTCCCGACGGCTTCGGCAAGACTTCAAGTGGACCATGGTGTTGTGATGTAATTTAGCAATATAGGAAGGCCTTACATGGCCTTACCGCCTGGCCTTCCTGCTTGTGTGTCCTAGGAGCTCGGGGATCCTGGATATATCCTCAGAATAGACTTTCGATGGGGGCCTATCCTGCGGAAGGGGCCTGTCCAGGACTATTCTCACAACCCTTCATCGTCTCAGCGGAACCATCGGCCACAAATCGAACCAAGCACCCCAATCGTCCACGGCACCTGGATTTGTGACACTTTGGTGACTTGTTTGGCACAAGAGGAACATATCGAGGATTGGGGGGTTTTCACCACACTCAACCTGCATGTGCATGTTGCATCCGACATGGAATAGTCGGAGATGCTTCATTCGAAAAGGAACTCATGTTGAACTTCATATATGACTCGATACCCCGCTCGCACGCGCGGCCTTTCCGTGCTCCTTCTCTTCGCCTTGGCACGGCGCGCGCCGTGCAAGACGGGGTCCGGCGTGCGTGCCACACCGGGTCCGGGATGCGCAGGGGGGAGTCAAACCCGGGACCCCAGCCTGGACACCGCTTTTACCGAGAAAAAGAATCCTGACGGTCCCCAGTGTTCTAGAAAAGTGAGCAAATGTCAACGAAACATAGGATTTCGTCCAAGTGACGGCTGACCAACATCCCCTACCGCTCACCGGAGTCCCTCAACAGGAACACGCCGACCCCACTCCGCTCTCGCTCACGTTCCTGGGCCTGGACCGGGGTCGGCGGACTTTACTCCTACCCCCCCCGCTTGCGCATTGATATTTCAATACAGACCTCCCCCACGTCGTCTCGAAGTGGACCCACATCATCGGAACAACAAGCTTCTTTTGGGGCGCAAGTGTATTCCCCCGGAGCACCTTCCAGCTGTCCTACCTTTCGTGTCTCCCTCTTCTCAACTTTCTGTCGACTTCAATATGCGTGCTGGAGTTTTGGTGGCCTGGCTCAGTATTCTTAGCATAGCCTAGCGCAGTACATCTTTCTCCCGGCCTGGGCTTTGAGCCCAACCCCATCCTCAAGCAATGACAATTCAAAGCCCATTCTGAATTTGGGAAAGCACATCCTCAAAGCACACTTGGACCCTTATGGGGTGTTTAACTATACCTGTTTTTTCATTATAGAGACGGCTTCCTTTTATATAGCAACACCATGGTCCACGGGAACACACAGAGGGACAAGAACGAACCCGTGTTGTGGATCTCAATTGTTGCGTCCTGCAGTAACTGTACGCAGGTCCCTCGCACCCAGTCACATATGACTTGGCGGAGTCCCTGGCGTGAGTGATGTGATTTTCCCACCACGAGACTGTGTTGGAGTATCCGATGCGACTTGGGAAGTCTGGCCGGGACGTGAAGTCGGCATATGATTTAGAACTCCAGTTATCATCAGACATTGCTGACTCCAACAACCAAGAGTTTTTTTCAGGCACTTGATGTGAGTGAGGTTGCAGGGTGTCCATAGGGTCTCTTTCGTCAGGTCAAAGGCTCAAAGAAAGCACTATCTCTGGAAGAGTGCGGGGCGGGCTGGGGATTGGTGGGCCATCCAAGTGTGTCCAGGTGTTGGTGCCTCTTGTTGGAACCTATGAACTATATGACAAGATGGATGGCGCCATAAGATGGGAATGTTTCAAGGCCAAGGCTTGGCGGTAACAAGAACCAGACAAAGCGGACTTTTGCCCTTGGAGTATAGAATTATGTGCAGACACCACTGATCAACAAACAATATTCAAAAGATTGCAGCCCAGAACCAAGATGTCCTCAAAATGTGGTTCCCCGAGCTTGGCAAACACTGAGAAATCAGAAAACACTGATCCCTCCCACCAGAGATTCCTTCTGCCAACTGAATCCTCAAGATTGATGTTCATCTCGGATCATCCCGACATGTCTTCGGGAAGCAAACACACCAAGTAGATCAAAGTAGAAGATATCCAGTGTTCAGAAAGGTTTGTCAGTTCACCAATTGAAAATCACACCCAGATGAGCGTCCTTTGTAAAACAGGGACCTGCAAAGGCCACCATTCTGCATCGACGGTGTCCAGGCATGCAGCCCTACCCGAGAATCAGGCGAAACGCCGAAGCGGAATGGTACTGTTTCCGGACCCACTGACACATGTTTTCCAACATTCACGCAAATCCTTGCATGCCAATTCAGGCTACAGTTTGCTTTTGTTTAGGGCCATCCTTTGTCGTAGAGTGAGTTCCAAGTTCAAATCTTTTGAAGCTCGTGACACCAGGGAATGCAGATGGCACAGTTCCACTCCCCGGAACTCCGAGCAACCAAGCAACCAACGCGATATTTCTCTATGACACTATGAGTTGTTCCTTCCATTTTTCATGTGCAGGTGAAGGTTTTAAGATGGAACCAGAACCATGATGGAACACATGGTTTTAAGTTGTTCCCCCCTGCATCGTCCTGATGTGTTTGCTTTCGTGCCAGGAGTGTGCCGACTGTGGGGCACCACGGCCCGATTGGCCTGGGGCTGAGCACCGCGACGTAGACTCGAGCCCGAGAAGGACGCAACAGACGAACGAGGACGCCTCTTCTCTTCAACCCCACGGACGCGCGAATGGTTCGCAGCTATCCGATCCATCCTCCGCTGTCGGATCTGACGAGTACTGTTGGAATGATTAGAATGATTCACCACTTGGATTTGTTGTTTGGGGTATTCTCATTCTCCTTGGCATCCAATCCACGCTGCTGAGGGCGTCGGTGAACCAGGGCACCTTGATTTGCATCGACTGTGTTGGGCAGCTGAGCAGTCCAACCTGTTGGCAGAGCGGGCAGTGGAACCAGCTAGGACCTTTGACGAAATAAATGTGTCAGAAGCTCGCAATGGATTCTTGAGATCACTTTCATGCATCAATTAGTGTACTGTGTGTACGTGTGTGTATATATATATATATGCAGAAAATGCGCATAATAACTACTTATGTAATCTATTGTAATCTTATGTATATATATATATAAAGGCATGCTTTCTTTATCTCCTGTGATTGGAAGCCCTGCACAGCTTTCAGGCAGATACGCCCAATGTTTTTTCAACGGCCTGGAACAGGCCCCCCAGTGTCGGATGTTTTCGTTGTCCTGCAATGGGCAGGGTCTAGTTGACCGAAAGTCAGGTTGAGGCACTCCGCACCATCGCTACCCCTCGTATAAAATTGATCCGTTCTGCAACCGTTTGAATTAATTAACTACTTTGCTCAAGCTATCTACTACTTGCAGCATCTCAATTTGTGTCAAATGATGTCTTTAACACATGTTTTCTTCAACAAATGGTTGCCTTTGTTCAGATATTGTTTTGGACTTGCTTCTCCGTGCTTCCTGCTTCTGGTTCTTTTTTTGGTTATGTGATTTCTCATGCTTTTCCTGTGTTTTTGTGCTTTTCTGGCTTTTCCTTGCTTTTCTCATGCTTTTCTTCGCTTCTGGATGTTTTGGCGTATTTATTTGGTTTGCTTCATTTTTGCTTTTTGTGACCTTTGTTGCTGTTTGGCTTTTCAAGCCGAAAATTTGGTTGAAAAGGAATTGTACAAGTCAGGTATTATTGATAAATGCCAGGTGTTCGAACGTTGTTAATTTAATTGAATGTAATCCGGATGAAGGTTCTTTAAACTTTAAACATCGCATTAAATCAACTAACAAAAATTTGAAGATTAAACAACATATCAAAATCATTGAACAAATCACACATATTGAATGTGGGTGTGTTGTTTTTTTCTTTTCCTTATTTGGCCTTCTATGCTTTTCCTACAGTTGTTGTTTTGTTCTTGCCTTGTCGCCTTTGATGTGTTTCTCAAGCTTACGTTGCTTCTGTGGGTTTTGTACATTCTTTTGCATTACTTGGCACTGTGTCTGCTCCGTTGGGGGAGGTGCTGCGCCCTCCTCCCCTCCCGCACCTCAAAAGCTCACATGTCCAAACGGTGCAAATACTAGCAGACCGCGCCATGGACCCGGCACTAGCAGGCTTCGAGGCTAATGTTGCTCTTGTGAGGCCGAAGCATGCCGAAACCAACATTGTGGTTTGGGGGAATGCTTTTCATTGATAGATAGCAAGGTTGTTTTGAAGTGCAGCTGGATCATGTCTTGATGCAACTTTGTTGGAAGCATTTCCCGGCCTCGGGATATCCCTGAAAGCTAAACATCTATGGATAATAAACATGTTGTATTCGATGCCAATCAATCAGTTTTTACTTCAAAGCGATAACTGTTGTGTTTTATGATGTTTTATATAAAGTAACCTCGGGTAACCCTCAAGGTGGATTGGGGGAAGTCACAGTTTGGAACGGAAGCACTACTTGTATGTCTCTCTCGACAAAATGCAATCTGCAGCGGAGGCAGCAGAGGTGCGCCACTACGGCACCTACGCATAGAGAAACCAGGACCGCACAAATACTCTCCAAATAAACCCGCGCCCCTTTGTCAAACACAGTCTCCGCATTGCATAGCTCCATGTGCCGGGAATAGCTCGTTCACTTTTGGCATGGGGCAACGGATGGATCCGAGGCTGGAACGCATCGCTCCCTGGGGGCTCACATCTCCAAGGTGAAATCATTGGGGCCGGGCTGCCCGTTTGTGGGCCTGCATCCTGCGCAGTTTGTGTGGAGCAGTTTGTGAAAGATGCTGGCTGATGCAAAGCGTCAAACCAAGTCAACATGTTTTATGCTTCATCATGCTGAATCAGTCGATGGGGGGTCGAAGTGTAGCAGATTTTGGTTCAATGCTGGTAGACAACCTTTTGGAGTGCAGTGGCTGGCTGCACGATACCATATATATATATATATTAACATATTATTATTGTGTCAATATTTTACATATGTACACAATTAAATATAGGACTATAAGTAGGATGTATATCCGACGATTGTTTTTCACGACAAACCAACTACACATGGAAACATATGGAAACCAGCCGACAGTTTGAGGCTGGATAAATGGAAACCTGACGAAGTGGAGAACTTTGTGTCCAAAGGTGGCAACCGCAAGGCGAGATTTGGGCATGTTCTGGCTGGCAAAGCGTTTTGTGTGATGTTAACTTGTCGGATCTTGTCAGAACCGAAGGTGTTTTCTTGTGTCGACTTTTGGGCGACGGGATGCAATACGTACCAGCAGAGCCGGCCGTTCGCCTAATCTATGGGTGCCAAAGAGAAATGTGCTTTTCACCCAGTGTGTATATGTGTGTGTGTGTGTGTCACACCCTGGTTCTAAGGGTTTTCCACGTTCTCACCTTTTCCACTGTAACAGAGGCGCGTTCCACTTTTTCCACAGAAGCAGGGGGACACGGCATTTCACTGGGACTGTGTCCAACGAAGCTACCAGTGAAATGGGATATCCAGCTTGGCCAGCTGGACGTACCTGCTCGTTCTTTCACAAGCTGTTACCCCACTTTTCCACGTTTTGATTCATGGTCCTTCATGATACTTCCCACAAACCATTTTCCTTCCGCATTGCAGCTGCCGACCGTCACTTGTCGTTTGAGCGCTTTCGGAAACATTTTTCAACAATACTGTTGTACGGACTGATTCACCTTGCGGTTACCTCACCTTCCTTCCCATCGTGGCAATTGAGTCTAATTGAAAACCAATGTCGAAGTGTGGACCGCTCAGTCTTCCCACTTGGGTACTGGGTGTGACCCTCCGAAAGGAGGCGCTGAAATCATGCCGGAAATCACCGACTTTCCATTTTTATAACTGCCTTTCCGTTTGTTCAACTTTATCCCTGAATTAACTGATTTTCGAGCCGCCGGGCTATAAACGACGGATTTCCCACCAACAATTCTGAATTCTCTCCGTGTTGCAAGGTCATGAGATCGATTTGCGCATTGTTCCATCTTTCAACTTTTAATTTTTCACCCGCAGCCGTTTGATCAGCTTCCGCATGCTCCACACCGCAGATCCCAGGATACATACACTTTTCCACCCCACAACGCCACCGCTGCGGCTGAAGCCCTGGTCCAACTATATGCCCAAAAAGGGCATGACCTGCACGCGTGCAGGCGGTTTTTGAGAAAAAGATCCGTTCTCCACCGCTTTGTCTGTGCGCCGATCACGGCTTGTTGTGTGTGTGTCACACCCTGGTTCTAAGGGTTTTCCACGTTCTCACC